GAAGGAATGGTCCGACAAATGGCTACTAAAATTCAACCTAAGTAAATGTAAGGTAATGAAACTAGGAGGCCAGTCACTGGATACCGAATGGGAGATGAAGTCCTTCACGAAACGTACAAAGAGAAAGATCTGAGAGTTAATATCAAGCCAAACCTGTCTCCCGAAGCCCACATCAAAAGAATAACATCAGCGGCCTATGCGAGGCTGGCTGACATCAGAACTGCTGTCAGAAACCTGTGCAAGGAATCTTTCAGAACCTTGTATACCACATATGTAAGGCCAATCCTAGAGTATGCAGCCCCAGCATGGAGCCCGTATCTAGTCAAGCACAAGACGAAGCTGGAAAAAGTTCAGAGGTATGCCACTAGGCTAGTCCCAGAACTAAGAGGCACGAGTTATGAGGACAGACTACGTGAACTGCACCTCACGTTGCTGGAAGACAGAAGAGCTAGGGGAGACATGATAACCACATACAAAATTCTCAGGGGAATTGACAGGGTGGACAAGGATGGATTATTTAACATGGGTGGCACATGCACAAGGGGACACAGGTGGAAGCCGAGTACCCAAATGAGCCACATTAGAAAGAACTTTTTCAGTGTCAGTGTAGTTAGTAAATGGAATGCACTAGGAAGTGATGTGGTGGAGGCTGACTCCATACACAGTTTCAAATGTAGATATGACAGAGCCCAGTAGGCTCAGGAATCTGTACATCAGTTGATTGACGGTTGAGAGGCGGGACCAAAGAGCCAGAGCTCAACCCCCGCAAGCACAATTAGGTAAGTACCACAGAGGATGATTGACAATGAGAAAGCAGGAGACGAAGAGCAAAGAGAATAGCATAAAGTTCTGCTGTGAAGATGCTAGTCTCCGAAGGCAGGCGACACATAAGTATGGTCAGGTCAGTAGCCCACACCGTCAGCAAACTTTGACCCATCGGTGAAGATGAAAACGGAGTGGGAGAGTGAAGAAAAATGCTCAAGGAAAAGGCGTTTCAGGGCCGTAGGAGGGGTAAAAGCTTTAGTGATGCAGGTCAAGGATGAACAAAACTGCGGAATGGGGACTCACCACGGGGGAGAAGAAGGAACAACACGAGGAGAAATATTAGAAATACGAACGGAAAGAGAATCCTGTAAGTGAGATAACTGGACAGAAAGAGGGAGGTGGTGAAGAGGAACAGGAACTGCAGGAGGGGAAAAAGTTAAAGCACCTCAGAGGCGAGAGGAAGGATGTTGCAAGGACCGCGCAAGATAGCAAAGACAGTAGCGATCACGGTGGTCCTGGAGAGATAGGAAGCCAGTGTCAACATACAAGCTGAGGACGCGAGTCGAACGAAAGGCTCCAGAACTGAGGCGCAACCCAGTATGGTGCAAAGCATCAAGACGGTGAAGAGTAGGAGGAGAAGCAGACAAGCAAGCAGGGCAACCATAATCGAGCTTGGACAGGATGAGAGAGGAATGTAAAGTGAGGAGTGCGCGCCTATCCGCTCCCCAAGAAGTAGGAGACAATACCCGAAGGAGGGTAAGGGCCTTAGAGCACTCAACACGGAGGTAAAAGATATGGGAAGACCAAGAAAAACGAGTGTCAAAGAATAACCTCAAAAGCTTCGCGGAATCTTTGTACTCAAGGGGATGACCATAAAGTGACAGAGGGACGAAGAATGACCCGTTTTCGAGTAAAAGCCATGGCACAAGTCTTAGTAGTAGAGAACTTGAAGTACTGATCGGTGGCCCAAGACGACACAGCATCAATCTCAAGTTAAAGCCGGCGTTGCAGGAGAGGCGAATCATCACCCTGACAGCAAAGGGTAAGATCATTGACAGAGAGCGGAGAAGATGCCTGAAGGAAGAGAGGAAAGATCATCGAGGGCAACCAGAAAAAGAGTAGTGCTCAGAACACTACCCTGGGGCACACCTTATTGCTGAAAAGAGGCAGAGAGAGTGGTACCAAGTCTCACCAGAAAGGAACAACGAGAGAGGAAGCTGTGGAGAAAGAGAGGGAGACGACCACAAAGGCCAAAAGAATGAAGCTGGGATAGAATATGATACCGCCAAGTGGTGTCGTAAGCCTTTTCCAGGTCAAAAAGGACGGCAACACTGGAGGTCTTCGCAGTAAAAGCAGTACGAATATAGACCTCCAAGTTCACCAGGACTTGTCTTCCCAGAGTTTCAAGTTAAGGACGGCCGCCTCAAGTCTGTAATGCATACACGTGCGGGAGAAGGTAGGGTGGGCCTCACCACAATTGAGGCAGCGAGCCTGGGAAGAAGTGCACTCGGACTTTGTGACCATCGTCCCTGTACATGGGACAGACAGTACTGGAACATCTGAGGGCACCATGCCCGAACTTCCAGCACTTATTACAGAGCCGCGGAGAGGGAATGTACTCCTGAACGGAGCATCTGGCACCAGCAAGAATTGTAGAGTGCGTAAGGGTCCTACTATCAAAGGTATGTTTCACAACCCGAATGGGCTGACTGCGACGACCATGAGAGGGCTGAGCAAACGTGTCCACCTGGAGGACAGAATGGCCTTGGGCTTTGAGGATATACTTAATATCCTCGTGGTAGTCCTTTAGGTCCCTAACACCAGTTGCAACATGGTGCGGCAGGAGAACAATGCCAACACTGGCATTCAACCAAGTTCTTGTTGACTTGAACAGGGGTCTCTCCAATGCAGGACAAATGCAGCGAAGTGGGTAGCTGCATCCTGAGGAGCAGCAGCAAGGACACACGTACTGAGATGGGTGAAGTAAAAAGTAACAGAGGCATCTACTGAATCAACAAGGTGCCTATGGAAGGAGAAATCGTCAGGTGTAAAATCCTGAGGAAGGGAAGGGAACTATCAGGGAAAAGCATCAAGCCATTAAAACTATATAGCACTGGGAAGGGATCAGTATAAGGATTTGGGATGGAACAGCGGGGGAAGGAATGGTGCCCAACCACTTGGACGGTCGGGGATTGAACGCAGACCTGTATGAAGCGAGACCGTTGCTCTACTGTCCTGCCCAAGTGGTTGACTCTTCCAACCCAGTCCAGAGGGAGGAGATCAAAGTATTTAGTCCATGTAGCAGGACCAAACAAGAAGTGGTACGAAGTAGTATGGGTAGAGTACGCGAGAGATCGGCCGGGGCAGGGACAGCGGTGAGAACCCCTAGAGAGAAAGGGGTTAAAAGGCGCAGTAGTCACAATGAGAGACGAAGCCTTGCCAGGGAAAGAAGTAGTCACCACTGGGGGAATGGGGCTCGACCCTACTACAGTGGAGGAAAAGGAGCAGGTGGGGGGGGGGGGGACTCACCCCATGAGCCTGGGTAAGAGCGGTTGTGTCGTCGTCCATAAATAAATCATTGTAAACAGTCTGGGGCCTGGAACCAAGGGATACCTCCTACCAGGGCAGACAGGAACGCCGAGAGCGGGCCAGTCTAGGAAGGGGTGCATCGTCCCCAGTGGTGCCCCCCCCCCTTTTTAACAGGAGTCGTACTGCATCTTCTATTCTCCTCCACTGGTGCAAAAGACCTCATTTTCCCTATCGCCCCAGCCTGGACACGCAGTCATACACACAGGGAAGCCCCCTCAAGGGCGACCCTTCCAGCGGGCGGTCCGATGATTCACAAGGACCCTACATGGTGCCCTTTCGCACGTACAACACCCCAAGAGGGGCAGGAGAGGGGGCGAAGGCAACCCTCACCGGTCCCAGGGAGGTGTACGCGAACACCCGCACCACAATAAGGCGACACCACGGAGGGGTACTGTTAGAAAGACCTTTCTCCCTCTCGTCCGAGCACGTACACCCAAAGAAACCTCCAAGGGCAACCCCTCAGGCGAGTCGTCCAATGATAAACATGTGCGAGTTTGGTTGTATATAAGGGAATCATGTCGCATTAACTTACAGGCATTTTGCTGCAGTTTCCCATATCATGTTATTCTCAACCCGTTCTCGCAAATTTAATAAGTCAATATTGACTAATTAAATATGTGCATAGGTGACATACTTAACATAATAGATACCCTTAAAAAGATTCATAGAAAACACCGACCTTACCTAACCTTGTTAGTATCTTAAGATAAGCATCTTATTGCTTCGTAATTACAATTATTACCTAACCTATAATAGGTATAGGTTAAGTAATAATTGTAATTACGAAGCAATAAAATGCTTATCTTAAGATACTAACAAGGTTAGGTAAGGTCGGTGTTTTCTATGAATCTTTTTAAGGGTATCTATTATGTTTAGTATATCACCTATGCACGTAGTTAATAAGTCAATATTGACTTTACGAATTTGCGAGAACGGGTTGGTTATTCTTCTCTTATACAAAGTAGCTTCATATTGGTAAAGTAGATAATGTAAGAATTGCATGACTTTTTTTACCTGGTTTTTCATGGTCAGAGCAGGACCACTGAAGTGCATTGTGTGCAAAATGAAACTATGACCCAACTATGTTGATCTTGCAGTCTAAATTAGACAAATGTATTGGATAACAGCACATTATGTATTTATTGAAAGGTTTAGTATAAAATGGATTTGTTCATTACATGGTTACAAAGTAGTGCTTCTAGTTTGCATGTCAGCTATTAAAGCAACTAAAGTACTATCGGTCAAAATATAAATAAAATATCCTGGAGTTTTTTTTTATTCTTAATCTAATCACCTGGGATATAACTTTTCACATGACAATACACAACCCATCCTCCTGTTTAGATAATACCTATTGTGATGGTCATCAATAGTCAAGAATGCGTACGTACTTAGCTTTTAGATAGTAGTATACCGACTAGTATGGAATTCTTTTAAAATAAATGAAGCTAAAAATAAACTTAAATATTCCTAGGCCAAGTATATCGTGTATTAGGCCTAGGAAGGTAAGGTTAGTTCAGTTTGTCAAAGCAACACAAGTAAAAATAGTTTTCCCGGTTTGTCCAACTCAATAGTTCAGATTTCTACTTTCTAATTTTGTTGTACGTCGGTATATATACTATGATCCTCATCGTTACTGTAAGTACTACCAAAACAGGAGATGGGCTGACATACAATAGCTAGCCCACATAATGAATATTAAGGCCAGTTTTATGGTTGCTACCTTAGTTTCTATATGAAAATGCTTCTAGAAATAACCATTAAAATGTTAATCTAGCATACGATGTATTTGGTGATGATCCGTGAACTTGTCAAGGTTATCCAAATTATTCCACCACAATGGGAGGAACTTCTGTGCAATAAGATAAAACCACGGGGTAATGGGAATTTTACTCTCCCTCAGTCCATATAAAAATGTATCGAAGTTCTCTCGCTTCACGTATCTCACATCTTGCACTTCATTCTCATTTGGATTAACGGAAACGTCTCCTCTTAGAAACAAAATGTAGTCCATCTCATGTTCTCCCCACACTCCATCTGATGGACTTGCATAATGAATCCTAGTAAGATAGGTAAAGTCTTGTGGCATTGCTTGCTCTGGAGGAACTCCCAGCTCAAATTCTAAGCGTCTCTGAGCAGCATTTCTGATACCCCAGGCGTCTTCTTCGATAGTTTCTTGTGGAATGTGAAGTGGGTGAGAGCAGCAAGTGTTTGTGTAATGACCTGGAAATGTTATCTGTGAAAGGAAAAAACTAAATTAGATCTGCATACGCTTACTATAATAATGTTTTTAAACTGTCAAAGAACAACTTTTCTCAAGGCCATTTCACTAAAATAAATAAATGACAAAAACCAACTTATGAATTTAAAATGGCAAAATATTTTGGCTAATTAGGGTGCATTAATTATGTTTCAAATTAAAAAACCATTATGAAAGAAATGTATCCAAGATAACGGATATATTATGTGAGAAATCTTTAAAGAATTCTGACAAAGAAAGATATCTAGGGGTGGTTCTAGATAGAAAACTATCACCTGAGGACCACATAAAGAACGTTGTGCGAGGAGCCTATGCCACGCTTTCTAACTTCAGAATTGCTTTTAAATACATGGAAGACGATATACTAAAGAAATTGTTCACGACTTTTGTTAGGCCAAAGCTAGAATATGCAGCAGTTGTGTGGTGCCCATATCTTAAGAAGCACATCAACAAACTGGAAAAGGTGCAAAGACACGCTACTAAGTGGCTCCCAGAACAGAAGGGCAAGAGCTACGAGGAGAGGTTCGAGGAATTAAATATGCCAAAACTAGAAGACAGAAGAAAAAGAGATGATATGATCACTACATGCAAAATAGTAACAGGAATTGATAAAATCGATAGGGAAGATTTCCCGAGACCTGGAACTTTAAGAACAAGAGGTCATAGATTTAAATTAGCTAAACACAGATGCCAAAGAAATATAAGAAAATTCACTTTCGCAAACAGAGTGGTAGACGGTTGGAACAATTTAGGTGAGAAGGTGGTGGAGGCCAAGACCGTCAGTAGTTTCAAAGTGTTATATGACAAAGAGTGCTGGGAAGACGGGACACCACGAGCGTAGCTCTCATCCTGTAACTACACTTGGGTAATTACAAGACTTTAATCTCTGTTAAAACAATGTCCAAGAGATAGGAAGTGACGAAATGGCTACCAAGAAACCTCATACTGCTATTTTGAGGTAACCCGAAAGTGGGACACTATTTCATCCACCTGAATGCCATACAGATGGAAACAAACCTGCATCAGAAACTTCAGACGTGAAGAGTGTAGTAGTAGTTCAAACCAGGGAAGTATGTTGCTGGACTGATGCTATGGAAGAGGCAGAGCCACGGAAAAATGATCGGGTTCGGACACTGAGCAAGCAGCGCTGGAAACCAAGGCTGGACAGGCCACCATGGAGCCAGAAGGACCACACATCAGAAAGTGAAGAAACTAACATTTCAGTCCATCCTGGACCCTTATCAAGCTGTATAGTGGTCCAGGACAGCAAACTGAAACCATCATTGTTTCTTCATTTTCTGATGTGTGGTTTGGCCATCATATCTTCAGCCACATTATTGAGACTCATTGTCTGCAACCAACTCGGACTTCTGCCAATTCACCAGGAATCTGAACCTGGCAAGCTGGGAAAGAACTAGATCCCTAGCTAGCTGACACTCTTACTGGCATGAAAACCTCTAGAAATACAATTATTCTGAGGCACCAAATGGGACCTGGAACCGAACCTGAAGGGAAGCAGCTGAATGATCACATTCATAGGATATGAAAAGTTATCTCCCTGAAGGAAAGGACCCTCCAGAGAGGAAACCAGGTTCAAGGTCTGAAGAGACCAGTAGACTCCTCAGGCTCCTTCTCAGCCCCATAAACCTGTAAAGGCTCAGCGGCAGAGCCTTGGTCCTTGTCCAACACCTTTGAGAAAAATGTCTCCTCCCAAGGAGAAGGCATGGAGCAGGGTGGGGGAAAAGGCAGTTGTGAAGATGATTGTCCCAAAACTCCAGTGGAACACTAATGTCCTGACGACACCAGTGAAAGGACTGATTAAGAAAGATGGCTGCATGTGGAAGCCAGGCCACCTGGTGGTGGCATTTTGTACAAAGTTTTGAGCTACAGTAATTTTGAATGTTTTTCTTGCTCTGTGAGAATTATTTGGTGGTGTCGAGGCTTCTGTATTTGTTAACCTTTCAGTCATCTGTAAAGCTTTCTGGATGCTTTTCTGGTGTGGTAACGAATTGTCTGCACCTCTGTGAGGTTGCGGGATGGTGGTGGTGGTGGAGAACGGGCCAAGGTTTGGCTCAGCTTCCCGGTAGGCTAAACAGAATGCCCACATCTTGTGCAACACATTTCCATGGAGCAATCTCAGATTGCTTCAGGGAGCCACAGGGGTGGGGTGGGGTGGGGTGGGGGGTGGGGGGGCTTCCCCAGAAAAAAATGGTTTTATCTAGTAGTAGGTATCCTTCAGTCTTGGGAGACTATGGAGTTGCGCCCTAGTTGTCAATCCTGGTGCAGCGTCTAGTGTGACTGATGAGGCCAATCCAAGAGTGGCAGTCCATCCCACACCGAGCACAAACGAAGTCCGATTCTGGTCCGTCTTCCTGGCTACCGGCTTTCCTTCTGTCTCTTTGCCTCCGATTCCTTGGCAAGTGACTCCTCGAACTTGGAGAGACCTCTTTGAACAGACTGCCCCCAGGCTGAATGGTCTGCAGCCAGTGTCTCCCATATAACAAGATTGACGTCCATGGCTTTCAGGTCCCTCTTGCATAGGTCTTTGTACCATAGCTGGGGCTTGCCTGTTGGACGCTTTCCCTGCATCAGCTTTCCGTACAGGAGATCCTTGGGGATCCTGCCGTCGCCCATTCGCACAACGTGCCCGAGCCAGCGCATTCGTCTCTGTTTCAGCATTGTGTACATGCTGGTGATTCTTGCTCTCCCCAAGACGTTGTTGTTTGTCACCTTGTCCTGCCAGGTAATGCGCAAGATGTATTGAAGGCAGCGCATGTGGTAGGCATTCAGCCGTCTTTCCTGATGGGTGCGGAGTGTCCAAGACTCGCTGCCATAAAGGAGAGTGCTCAGGACACAGGCTCTGTAAACCTGAATCTTAGTATACTCAAGTCAGCCTATTGTTGGCCCATACTCTCTTTGTCAGTCTGGACATGGTAGTAGATGCCTTACCGATGCGTTTAACTCCATATCAAGAGAGAGGGAGACAGATTGTGGAGCCCAGGTACACGAAGTCGTGAACGACTTCCAGTTTGGAATCGAAGATGCCGATGTCAGGTGGGGAGTCCTCTCCTTGTTCCGTGACTTGTGTTTTCTTCAGGCTGATGGCGAGTCCGAAAGCCTGAGAGGCCTCACTGAAGCGGGTCATAAGCTGTTGGAGGTCTTCGGCTGAGTGGGCAGTGACTGCTGCGTCATCGGCAAAAAGGAAGTCGCACAGACACCTCAGCCGAACCTTCGTCTTGGCTCTCAGCCTGGCGAGGTTAAAGAGCTTTCCATCTGACCTGGTCCGGAGGTAAATGTCTTCCGTGACAGATCCGAAGGCGTGCTGCAGCATAACCGCGAAGAAAATCCCGAATAGGGTTGGAACCAGTACGCAGCCCTGGTTGATACCTGGTTGATTTTTACTCCACTTCGGATGTCAAAGGCGTCTGATGTTAGGCCATCAAAGACCATGGTGCTCCTCATGTTCTCATGGAAAGATCTGATGATGCTGAGGAGCCTGGGTGGGCATCCGATCTTGGGGAGGATCTTGAACAGGCCATCCCTGCTGACGAGGTCGAAGGCCTTCGTCAGATCTATGAAGGCTACAAAGAGTGGCTGCTTCTGTTCCCTGCATTTCTCCTGCAGTTGTCCGAGGAAAAAGACCATGTCGATGGTGGACCTGTCAGCTCTGAATCCGCATTGTGATTCTGGATAGACTCTCTCTGCAAGTACTTGGAGCCTCTTCAATGCGACTCGAGTAAACAGCTTTCCGACAATACTGAAGAGGGAGATTCCACGGTAGTTGCAGTTGCCCCTGTCACCTTTATTCTTATACAGCATGACGATGTTGGCATCCCTCATGTCCTGTGGCACCTCTCCTCCTTCCCAGCAGAGGCAGAGAACTTCATGCAGCTCCATGAGCAGGCTACCTCTGCAGCACTTCAAGGTCTCAGCAGGAATGCCATCTTTGCCAGAAGCAAGGGAGTCTAGGGCATCGCCGAGTTCTTCGAGGGTCGGTTCGCTGTCGAGCTACATTAACACAGGCAGACAATGGCACTCAGGGCGTCTTCGGTAACCACATTGTCCCTGGCGTGTAGCTCAGAGTAGTGCTCGACCCAGCGCTTCAGCTGCAGTCTCTGGTCCTGAATCACCTCGCCAGTGGCAGATTTCAGAGTAGCGGTCTTCCTCTGGATTGGGCCGAGGGCCTGCTTGATGCCGTCATACATTCCCCTTACATTGCCTGTATCCGCTGCAGCCTGTATCTGGGAGCAGAGCTGGAGCCAATAGTTGTTGGCACATCGCCTGGCACTCTGCTGCACTTTGCAGCGGATAGCCCGAAGGATCTGTAAGTTGCGCTGACTTGGGCAGGCTTTGTAGGCTGCCTAGGAGTTTCTCTTTTCTTCGATGACAGGTGTCATCTCTTCCGAGTGACCATCTCTTCCGGTTTTATCTACAGTATAGTATTTCAACATTTTCTATGATACCATTTGCAACCAGGGCATATGTATACAAATCTTGAGGCAACATTTCTTATTAATTTTCAGCAATCATCTCAAGATCGCCCTCATCAATCACTCTTAATCCTATTGTAAAATATGTCACCAGGGTCCTACATAGTCCACTAACAATAGGGATCTTCCTTCCAACACCATACAAGTGTCTTACATATTTTGAGACAGTACTTGAAGACTCTCCAGATAGGTGCATAGGCATTGCAAAGCAAATTAAAAAGTGAAAACTAAGAGGTTTCTCTTTTGGAATATCTAACCAATTACAAAAATATTCACTCTAAAACAATAACCTTTGCATCAGAGCGACGATGTACCAGAAGTTCACCAGAAGAATTAAACAGGAAGACACTAAAGGCTCGATGAAGAAGACTTGTTCCATTCTGCATCAAATGACAGTCGCGTTTGGAAGCCGAGCCAATATTTGTGTCATTCTCATCCACCAAGATACACGGCTCATCAAGAAGAGCAAATTGCTGTGGGTCAATATCTTCTGCATAATTCGTTTGCTGAAAAACAATAAATGGCAAGCGTTACAAAAATCAATGATCAAATAAAAAATCAACTCCTATATGCAATGAGGAGGATAAGCATAATTTCTGAAATTTAAAGACTGAAATTTAGATGCCTATACAAAATACAAAAATACAGTACCTCAAGCATAGCACATTTAGATGAGAACACAGTGAAATCACAATCTTTTGAGAAAAAAAAAAAAAAAAAAAAAAGTAACCTGGTGATCAGCAGTTTGTTATATTGAACACACTGCCAGTGACCACACAGAATTGGAACTTGTAGAAAATGTGATTGTTGTTACTCTAAGATATGAATACTCCCAGAGATTGGATAAAACTGGTCAGAAGCAGAGATAGTTTACCAACCCTTGACAAAATCTTTAGAACTGTTTATCTATAGGTTCCAATTCTTCTGTAGAATTGCATGCAGAGTAGTCAGTATGACAACCTAGTGATCTCCAGGTCATGAGTTTGAAACAAGATAATTTGCCTTGTGTAATATACATATATATACTGGTACCTTTCCTTGAGGTTACCTCGAGGTGCTTCCAGGGCTTAGCGTCCCCGTGGCCCGGTCGTCGACCAGGCCTCCTGGTTGCTGGCTGATCAACCAGGCTGTTAGACGTGGCTGCTCGCAGCCTGACGTATGAGTCACAGCCCGGTTGATCAGGTATCCTTTGGAGGTGCTTATCCAGTTCTCTCTTGAACACTGTGAGGGGTCGGCGAGTTATGCCCCTTATGTGTAGTGGAAGCCTGTTGAACAGTCTCGGGCCTCTGATGTTGATAGAGTTCTCTCTCAGAGTACCTGTTGCACCTCTGCTTTTCAACAGGGGTATTCTGCACATCCTGCCATGTCTTCTGGTGTCATGTGATGTTATTTCTGTGTGCAGGTTTGGGACCAGCCCCTCAATTATTTTCCACGTATAAATTATTATGTATCTCTTCCGCCTGCGCTCAAGGGAGTACAGATTTAGGCTCTTTAGTCGGTCCCAGTAATTTAGATGTTTTACTGAGTGGATTCTAGCAGTAAAGGATCTCTGCACTCTCTCCAGGTCAGCAATTTCTGCAGCTTTGAAAGGTGCTGTCATTGTGCAGCAGTACTCCACTCTAGACAGCACAAGCATTTTGAAAAGTATCATCATCGGTATAGCATCTCTAGTGTGAAAAGTTCTTGTTATCCAACCTGTCATTTTTCTTGCAGTTGTGACGGCTACTTTATTGTGTTCTTTAAAGGTAAGGTCTTCCGACATGAGTACACCCAGATCCTTTACATTGCCTTTTCGTTCTATGTTATGATTTGCCTGAGTTTTGTACGTAGTTTCCGTTTTTATATTTTCAATTTTTCCGTAGCGCATGAGCTGGAACTTATCCTTGTTAAACACCATATTATTTTCTGTAGCCCATAGAAAGACCTGATCTACATCTGATTGGAGGTTTGCCGTGTCCTCTATGTTGCCAACTCTCATGAAAATCCTAGTGTCATCTGCAAAGGATGATACAGTGCTATAGGTTGTGTTCTTGTCTATGTCCGATATGAGGATGAGAAAAAGTACTGGAGCAAGCACAGTACCCTGGGGGACTGAGCTCTTCACGGTTGATGGGCTGGATTTTATTTTGTTGACTATTACACATTGGGTTCTGTTAGATCTGTTAGGTTCTGTTAAAATTGTAGATCCATCTGCCTATTTTCCCGGTAATTCCTTTTGAACGCATTTGATGTGCAATAACACCATGGTCACATTTATCAAAAGCTTTTGCAAAATCTGTGTAAATTACATCAGCGTTTTGTTTGTCTTCCATAGCATCTAATGCCATATCATAGTGGTCCAGCAACTGCGACAGGCAAGAGCGCCCTGTTCTGAAACCATGTTGTCCGGGGTTATGGAGATGCTGTGATTCCATGTATTTTGTGATCTTACTTCTTAGCACTTCTCAAAAATTTTTATGATGTGCGATGTTAGTGCTATCGGTCTGTAATTTTTTGCCTCCGCCTTATTTCCTCCTTTATGGAGTGGTGCTATCTCTGCTGTTTTTAGTATGTCAGGGATAATGCCAGTATCTATCTAGGCTTTGTCTCCACAGAATGTGAAGGGCCTGCGATAGTGGTTTTTTACAGTTCTTGATGAATATGGAGTTCCAAGAATCCGGGCCTGGTGCAGAGTGCATAGGCATACTGTTTATGGCTTCTTCAAAATCTAGTGGGGATAGGGCAACGTCTGATATATGATTTGATGTTGGTATCATATCCATGAAAAATTAATTTGGGTTATCAATCTTTGGTGCGTTTAATGGCTCGCTGAAAACAGAGTCGTACTGCTTCCTCAGTAACTCGCTAATTTCTTTGTTGTAATCGGTGAAAGTTCCATCTCCTTTTCGCAGGGGCCTGATACTAGATGTGTTTTTTTATCTTTATTTTGCATAGGAGAAAAAATATTTCGGATTTCTCTCTATTTCACTGATGGCCTTTTGCTCTCTTTGCCTCTCCTTGAGTTCAATTGTTTCTATTTCTCTACCTAACCACCTTCGCCGTTCTTGAGATAGGGTGCGACTCAAGTTGTTCCGTGATTCGTTTTCTTCGCCTATATAGGAAACGACGTTCCCGTTTCAATCTGCATCTCTTTTTTTCTTAGGGGTATGCGGTTTGAACATATTTCTAGTGCTACTGAGCTTATTTTTTCCAGGCACTGGTTCAGGTTTGCATTTTCTAGCTGTTCTTCCCAGTTTATTTCTGTGAAGTCCTAGTTTATTTGCTCCCAGTTTATCTGTTTATTATTGAAGTTGAATTTGCTGAAATCTCCTTCACCGGGAATCTGGACTGGTTTTGAAGGTCCATTCCCCATGGTTGTCAGAACTTCAATTAAGTTGTGATCTGAGTAACAGGTATTTGTAATCATTATGTTCCCAATCAATTCATCATTATTAGTGAAAATGAGGTCCAGCGTGTTCTTCTTCCTAGTTCGTTCTACTATTTGCTGGTTTAACCCTTAAAGTGCGCATCACGTCATATGACGTGCTGGACGTTGTTCCAGTCAACTGCGCATCACGTCATATGATGTGTTGGAGTACTACGCAAGATTTAAACAGCCCGCGGATACACGGGGTTCACCACACCTTCATCAGGGCTCTTGTAAACAGACACCATTTTTTTTAAAAATCGTGTACCAAACTCCCGGGTGTTATTGGCCTCAGTATTGAGTGAGCAACAAAGCCTGACGCACGCAGCATGAGCTAACAGCACTGCTGTTCAGCTTGTGACCACAGCATCGCCTAAAAATGCCAAATTATACTTGTTCATGCTATTATGTAGCGATGATATTATTACAGAAGACCCCTGACTGTGATAAACTGACCAGGGTTCTAATAATAGCAGGATTGTGGTGATATTTAGCGCTGTGCGCCATGGAAGGAGTAGTAATGCTGTGGGAGGGAGGGTGGTGGCGATGTCTTTTGACTGTGTGTGGCCACCTTGTATTGACCGCACTCAGCATACCAGCTTAGTGGTTCGCTATGGTGAACACAAATGTAGATACTTATATATAACGTGTGTATAGAGGGTATAAACAGCAAGAGAAGGTTTGGAGCCGCCATTTTGGTGAGGGCGGTGGCGTCATGCAGACGACGCCACCGCCGCACGCACGATACGAAGCGACAGTGTTAGGCATAAGATGACGGTCCTGAAACAACCACGAGAGGAAGGACAAGACCACCCGAACAGACAAGGAGCTAACACGACGAAGACGCAAAAAGAAACGGAAGGACCGCCAGGAAACTTCATACTGCCGCCGAGAAGAAGCCCTCAGGTGGGACACCAACAAGGAGGCCACCTGATCACCATAGAGATGATGATAGACTCGAGTCAAAAAAACCATACGCGAAGACTCGAGGAGAAGATCGAACCAGCCCGATCTGCTGAAAGAGGCGGAGCCGCGGGAAAACCCTCGGGTTCGGACACCGAGCAACCAGCGCCTGAAACCAAGGCTGGGCCGGCCACCAAGGGGCCAGAAGGACAACTCTCCCCTGGTAAGTCTAAGCGAGTCAGGACCTGGAGCAACAGCCGAACCGGGGGAAAGAGGTACAGGAACCCCCACCTCGACCAGTCTAGCCGAAAGGCATCGACCCCGACGGCCTCGCGATTGGGGAAGGGCGCCGCATAAACGGGAAGACGCCGCGACCACGCCGATGCGAAGAGGTCCACTCCGGGGCGCCCGAACGTCTGGCAAAGCCAACGGAAGGACTCGTCGTCGAACGTCCACTCCGTGGAGAGGGGAACAAAGCGAGACAGGGCGTCGGCCAAGACATTGGACACGCCCCGTACGTGAACTGCCAGGAGAGCCAAACCCCGAGAACTCAGCAGACGAGTCACCCGAAGCGACCAACCCCAAAGAGACAAGGACCGCATCGAACCCCCGCGGTTCAGGCAATGAACCACCGGAGAGCAGTCCGAATGGAGCCGAATCGTCGATTCGCGGGCCACCCGAATCCTCCCCAGAGCAAACCACACTGCCGCGAACTCCCGCACCGCGCTGTGAGCTCGACGGAAGGACGGATCCCAACGCCCCTGGCCGGCCTGTTGAGCACTGGTCACAAAACCCCAGCCGAGAGACGACGCATCCGTGTACACATCGAGCGAGGGCTCGGGTAGGCGCCAAGGCACTGAACCCCGAAAAACCCGAAGAGGAAGCCGGTGACGCAGCAACCGACGCAAGGCCCCCGGGGGTCGAACTCTGCGATCGCGAGAGAGGCGGAAGGGGGAACCCCGAAGGAACCAGAACAGCCGTCGAAGCCAAACCCGACCCGGCGGGTAGACCACCATCGCGAAGTTCAGGCTCAGGCACAGCCCCTCGAGCAACCGCCGGGTGACCCGAGGGCCCTCCAGAAACAGACGAAGGCGGGACCGCAGCCGCAGGAGAGACTCCGGAGGGAGAGACAAGGAGGCGGTTTGAGAGTCCCAAACGAGACCCAGCCAAGTCCGAACCTGAGAGGTAATCAGATGG